ATTTAAGTAACCGTAGTAAAATAAAAAAGGTTTTAAAAATATTTATTTTATATAGGGAACGTTTTAAATTTAATAATAAATTTAATTATTATATTTAATAATTATATTTTTAAAAAAATTTTAATAAGTGTTTTTTAAGAGATTTAAGAAAAGTAAATAAAGATTATATTTATTATTTTTAAGGCTTTATTTTAATAAATTACTTGCGAAATTGTTTAAGAATTAAAAATCGATTAATATATATAATAAAGCGTTATAAATACTTTTTAAAAATCTTTTAAAACTTTATTTATTTTTATTTTTTAGAATAAATTTATTATTTTATTTATTTATTTATTTATTAATATTTTTAATATTTAATTTAATTATAATTTATATAAAACGGTAAACTATTTAAAAAAAAGATATTAAATTTATAAAAAATATTTTAAAAATTAATAAATATTTTAATTTAGTTTAAAAAGCTAATCCTTAAGATTATTAATTATAATATATTTATAATTTTAAATATAATAATTATTTATAATAACTATTTTTTTATTTAAATTCTATTTATTTTATTATAATAAAAAATAAATATAATAAAATTATATAGATTTTAAAAATAAAAATAACGAATTTATAATATTATAAAGATTACGATTTTTATTTTATATAATAATATTAATATTCGTTTATTAAAAAAATTTTATATTTTATTAGTTATTTTAATAAAATAACTATTTTATAAATTAATTTTATTAAAAAAAAAAAGCTTTTAAATTTTATAAATTATCTATTTTTTTTTTATTAATTTCGTAGTTTATTTATAAATTTAAAACTTTTTTTTTTTTTAAGTTTAAAAGAAAAATCCTTTTATATTTATTTAAAAGTAATCTTTATATCCCTATACTTAAATATCCTTAAAATATAGGTGCACCTAAATCCCTACCCTATTTATTTGGGTCCCCATGGGTCCCCATGGGTTGGGGATTTTTATGCCTAAATGGGTTGGAGTACGGTATTTTGTAATACGAGGGCCGCATGGGATGGTCTTGATGAGGAGATGGAGGCGGAGCTACTGGGCAGTGGTTATGTTGCTCGCCAGTTGCCACTCGATTATGCATTACAGGAAGCTGGCTGTGCCAAAGCATTTCGCGGATGTGGATCCTGAAGAGCACCCGATGGGGAGGCATGGATTGGTGCAGAGGCACCAGAGGGTCTGGGCGGATGAACTTTTATCTCGCGAGGCATGTTCAGCACATTGAGGGCCGTGAACCAGAGGCTTCAAAGGCGCTGTCCGATACGCTCCTTGAGAATGCGACGTAGGAAAAGGTACCGCGTCATGATGGAGTGGGAATGCACGTAGGCGACCATGTGATTTTGGGTAACACTTGTACGATGTACCGCACGGTGAAAGGCCAGTTTGAGTTCAAACATACCAGGCATAGGAAGCCCGCTATTCATGATGATAGTAGCCAGGCGTGGGAGCTGAATGAGCATATGGATGTTCGTCAAGGGTTGCCGTGAGCGCTGCTGGGGAGTCAGTGGCCAAGTCCACTTCCAATGGAATGACAAGGTGTTTCTATTGGGATACATATTATAGGAGAGAATGGGAGTCTGTCACTTTATGTTTCGCTGAATAAGCAACTTTCCTAGCAGACAGACGAGATTGAAATCTGTGCGGACGTACCAGTCCTTGCCAATGAACCCCCCCGCCATGCCGACCATTGCCGATAGTTGCGAGTGGACGAGCAGGGTAAATATTTGCCGCAATGTCGACAACAGTTTACAATATCAAAAGACGCTCTGCTCGTTCGATCAACTTTTCTGTTCCATGCAAACTGACTCCATGACGAGAAGACTCTCGTTGCGCGGTATCGTGATTCGCCTTGAATCTGTAGCACTATTCAGTCTTCAAAAGGTATGGCTTCCGATTACACAACACGGATTGCTGTACCGGCATTTCCCGCATACTTGATCAATCAATGAAGAACGCAGAACAACCACGAGCCTCTGCCTACCTAGGAAAGAATTCAAAGGCGTCGGTTTAGATAACCTGCTTGGGGCGATAAAGACCCGTGTACCGCCAAAATTCAGCAAACACCCGCCAGGCCGCCAGCGCGGTAAGCCAAGACGGATGACTTCGGCGTCAAGTGTCCAACACATCTTGGACTTGACAAAAAAAAATTCGTAATCGTCATGTTGTCGGGAAAACGCCACCCGCATCGGTTTGTTGGTCAGCCCGTCCGAGGAACTCAAGGCATTGTGTAATTCAGGATTCGTTGAGCGACTTGGTGGAGTGGGGATGTACCTCATCTAGGACACGCTTTATAATATGCAATTCTTCTGGCGGCGGCTACGTGCGAGAATGCAATCTCAAAGATGCTTGATTACGCGCAACAGATCGCATGGAAGTATTCCTCGAGGTGAAAAGACATGCCTGCTTGCTTGCGAAAACAACATGGCTCACCGCCTGGACGACTCACGGGAACAAAATCACTGTTCTTTCACCGCAGATTGTTCACAGAAGTGGAAGCAGCTGGAGGACTCTGAACTGCTGAGAAGTTTGCTTGGACACTGTATTCATGATCACCACTGCAACATGTCGGATGCCATGCAGGTACATGACATATATAAGAGCTGGGAATGTTCAGCTTCAGAGTGAGTCCATCATCCTTCGCTATCACAGTCAAGGCAGTTCTCTACTGGACCTCGCTTTTCCAACCAGAGATCCGGCACCCAACTTTTTCCAATCACGATTTCGGACCAATAACCTCAAGGTATCAACGATCTTTCTCCACCCCCATAACCTGCCTGGCTCGAGTTGAGTAGCATGTGCTAATATTACGGTAGAAGCATCATGTCGTCCGCAGAGAATCAGGAGCCAATCGGAGCTGTCCAAGACACGACCAAAGATGGATGCGCGATTACTTATCAGTGTACCCGGGTCTCGCGAGAGTGCCCCTGGGCCTTCTGCCCGGCAGCTTTTGCCAAGTTTTCGGACTGGTCAAATCATATGTACCCTGAGGGTCGCCATGCTTTTCACATGAAAGCTCCTGGGTACTATATTTGCACAGTTCTAGAAGATGGGGAGGAGTGTGGACAATTGAATGGGGAGACTGAGTTCGAAAAACATGTGCAGAAAGACCACGGCGTACCTGAGAAAGCAGTCGGAGGTGAGAAGATTAAAGGCTTGATCGGCTGTTTTGGGGAAAAGGGGGGAAGATACTGGTGTGGATTCTGCTCCGAAATCCAGATCGTTCAACACGAGGGGCCTGGTCAAGATGGTCCATTCCGACAATATGAGTCGCACCTCAAAGACCATTTCGAAGAAGGCCTGTCACTCGCAGATTGGAATCCTCACACAAATGGAACGAATGGCGGCGACTTGGACTATTCGATAGAATAAGAAGGTGCAAGAAGAGTCCAGGAGCAGACAGGATGGACCCTCAAAGTCTGGCAAGCAACACCGATGTACGGAGAGGCCAGTATATCGGGCGAGACATCTATGGCAAGCATGGGCAACTTTGGGATTCTCAAGCATCAGCTTCCAGCAACGATTCGACTCACTCAACAGGGCGCTCCCAAGTTTAAGAAAAGGGGTGCGCTTGATACCTGTCAGGCTTCGGGCATATTTTACCTACGTGACGGTATCACATTACAGATTGTTTCATTCAGGAATCGGGCAAGGTTTCTCATGTATCGCAGTGTAGGGCCAACGGGAACGAAGAATATTATTTTCCCTTTCCCATACAAACCACCAATAAGTCAAACTCAAATCACTGTGCTTCGGTAAAGTATTATATGCTCAACTTGTTTCCTTCCTAAAACAAAACCAGCTCATGAATTATTGATAATAATTCAAACTATGAAGGCTCTGATAAGACAAGCTGTTAGTGTGTAAGACTGTATGTGGACTGAAAAGCTAAGAAAAGAGCACGGCATTAACAACTCCCATTCGATGGAATATATATCCAAGTGCAAGTAGTCTGTCGGTCGTCATGAATTCAACTGAGTCTAGAATGTTTTTGATTCATGCCTGGAAAGCTGGTAGATCAGCCGTATATGCCTTTATGTAGCACGCGGCTTCAGCCAAAGTGAAAAATCATCTTCTGAGTGACAGAATCTGCACTTTTCATGGGTTGGGGGGGGGAGGGGGGATATCCTCACCTGGCGGGCTTCCCAGTGTTTTTCCCAGCACGAACAGGTCTTGTAACCAACCACCTTGCTTCAATCTACCCAAGTCTGACAGCTAAACTCCAAAAGACAACAGCCATGGTTTAACAGCCTTGGACTGTTTATTGGCATTACATCCACGCCGTCTCCCAGCCTTCTCGTGTTTGGAATCACTCTTGAGATCACCCATCGGACGCCGCACGATCCAACGCACCGTAACCTGCCGACTAAGGCCGACAGATGCGGTCCAACACCGCCCTCCACCAACTCCTCCCGACAACATCTCCACCGCTTCAACTTGTCAAACCTCTTTGAACAAGGTCATTGCTGTTTTGTCAGCTGCAATTGCCATGACGCTCGGCACAGGAAAAAATGTCGTATGGTGCGTGTTTGAGATGTCGCGGTGGCAAAATCGAATGCAAACTTGTTAGTAGACCTGCGATTCGTCGAAATCCCCATCCAACTGCAGAATCTTTAGGAAAGGAGTCAGAGAGCCTGTGTGAAGCCGGACACCCCGAACCTTCAAAGGCCTAATTCTATTATCCGAGTAGTTGCCTTGTATTGAAAAGAAAAAAAGAAAACACCTGTGAAGTCCAAAAAGATCACTTCAGTGACGGGAGACCGGCTTGGTCTATTGTTGGTCTCGCCCTACGCTTGGGCTAGTCATTGCAGCTGGATCGTGCTGCTCTTCGAGGTCCTGTATCGGAAGAATCCGTGGACGACAGACAGGAGAGAAACCGTCTTATATGCTTCATCTAATGATCAACGCTTTACTCTTTTTAGTCAATTTCATCCTGTTCATCAACCTATAGATGAAGTTCAATCTAAGAGCCCCTCGACCCTTAGTGGGCGTAAAATAACGTAGCCTCCGAATCGCTCGCCCGGATTCTCCTATTCTCTCTCACGAGCATCCATTTCATCACCCACGCGCCAGCGGCGCAGGCCACGCAGAACGCCGCGCTGCTGGCCATCGGAATCACATATCTCGGGGCATCTGACGTGGGCCACAAATACTGGTTCGAGGAGTTAGAAAATGCCCCCCTTAAAAGAACAACACAAGTCCAGGCGAGAGAAAGACCATGTTGGGGGGGCGATGACTTACAGGTGTCCAAATGAAGCTGATGCTAGCGCTGGTATTCACAATCGCCAACGCCGAAGCCTTCTTCTCTCTCGTCTGCCCACACGTGCTTCCAACCCAACCCAGCAGGCTTTCCCACAATCAGTGTCAGTATTCTGCTGATGAAAACGCATGATTCCAAAAAAAAACCAGGCTTGCTTGACTCACATGGAGTTAACGCCGTACGTGCCAACAGTAAAGACCGTCATGGCAAAGTATCTGGCGCCCGTATTCATCGTCACGCAAGCCAGAATGAAACCGAAAGCGGCAACGGCCTTTGAAATGGTAATTTGCCACGTCCGCTCGTTGAATCGACCCGAGCTCCACGCCCATACAATAGAGAGCACGCCGGCAATGAGATACGGCGGGCAAGTCAGGACCAGCGTAATCGTCGTGTCAAAGTTGAGCGTTTGCACAATTGCTACACAAGAATGATTCAGTAACATAATCCTCGCTCATGATACGGCGAGAGAGAAAAGAGTATGTTTTGGAACTTACTAGGGAAGAAATTCTTGAACCCATTCGTGGCCAGATGGCAATGCTGCATCCAGATAAACACCCACACCTTCGGATCGACAATCGCCTCGCGAAGACCGCCCCAGGTACTGCTCTGCATCCGCGCACCGACGGTATCGCGCTCAATCCTGTCGTGCGCGAGCTGCCGTTCCTCGGGCGTAAGCCAACGTGTCGTGAGAGGCTCGTCGGGGAGCGAATAGCAAGCCATCATGGCAACGACAAACGTCACGGCGCCCTGGAGGATGAACAGCCACCGCCAGCCCTCGAGACCATGTACGCCCTCTAGACCGTGGAAAACTCCCGCGGCGATCAGCCCCGCGAACGCGGTCGCCAGGATGTTACCAGAGTATAGCACGCTAATCCTTGTCGCGAGTTCCTTCCGGGTGTAAAAGATTGACAGCATGTACAGCGCGCCGGGGTAATACGGCGCCTCTACGACGCCGAGGAAGAACCGGGTGAGGACCAGACCCTTGTAGTCTTTGACGACGGCGGTCAGGGCGCTGACGACGGCCCAGGCCATCATGAAGCCGCCCATGTACCACGAGGGCCGCACGCGGGTGAGGATCATGTTGCTCGGGATCTGGCCGAGGATGTAGCCGACAAAGAGTATGGAGACGCTGGTTGAATACTCGACGCTGCTGAGGCCCAGTTGTTTTTCAAGGCCGTTGAGGCGGGCTAGGGCGATGGCATTGCGATCGAGGTAGCTTGGTGGATGTCAGTTCATTTGCGCTCAAGATCATCCTCAGAGTTGATCAAAGAGTAGACTTACTTGAGCCAGTACATCAGCCATAACGTGGGCTATATGGTAGAAAGTCAGAAGCAAGGTTCGTGCAAAGCAGCGTGTAGTTTGAAAACACGTACCATGACCCAGAGATCCAACTTCCTCACAAGCTTAATTTCCGTAGGATCACTCTTGGCCGCGGCTCCAGAATAGTCGACCGCCGCAGCAGGACTCTTCTCGTCGTCCAGTACGTGAGAGTGCTCCTGGTGTAGAACCTGCTGCTTCTCAATGTCGGGTGAGGATTGAGCTGGGAGGCCCTTGGCCACGGTTTCCGTCTGAGTCGCCATCCTGACGATAGTATTGTCAAGCGGTTGCTACGAGCCCTCGAGAAGACGGAGAGAGTGGTTTTGAGCGGCAACGGCAAGCAATTTCATGGAGGTGAAGCAACGGGATTTTGAGGGTCACATCCGGAAACCTGGTGAAGGGTATCAGCGCTGTATATGTTGTCGACGAGACCTCACTCCCTCGGGCCCTCTTCCCCGCAACAACCCCGGATTTGGCATGCTTGGCTCCGCGATATCTGGTGGGGGGCCCGCAACATAGTGGCGGCAAGGTAATAATTCATAGTGTTGGACCCAGAATGGTGGCGCCGCCCACAATGTAGTAGGTCGCGGAAGCGTCAAGCGGAAAACACACATTCGGTCAACGGCGCCGAAGGCCGAAAAGTGCTGTAACGAGAGCGGTCATGTCCCCGCGCGGTATACCATATGGCACAAAGGATTGAGGGTCTCTCATTACCCAGCCGCCGTCCCTCTCCCACTCCAAGTTCCGCCTTGGCACTTGTTCCCCCATTTCCCCGCGCCCTGGATGGTGGCATCGGGGATGCTCCAAGTGGGCTCTTACTCGTTCCTCTGAGTGCTAGGCCAGTCAGACAACATGGTATCGAGGCTCTCGCATGTGCCGCGTTGGTTCCTGGAAAAGTGTTGAGAGGCTGGGAGAGAGACTTGTGGGGTGTTTTCGGCCTCGGCATCCGCCCCGATGCCTCGGTCAGTAGTGCCGCTCTCTCTTGGGCTTACGTCCGCATGATCCGTCGGAAGACTCAACAGTCGCAGCTCTGCTCTCGCGAAGAGTAACTTGACCGACTTCAGCATGATTGGGTCTGCTGTAATCTCGATGGATCATGTAGGATGATGCAGACGGATTACATCCGTTTGAGGGCTTGGCTCGGTACTGAGTCCGCAATCGGCGGTTACTATTGTGCCTGGCATAGATCGCATGTAATTCTATTATTCCGAAAATATCCGTCGGTATGTAGATCAGACAGCTTGAGAATTCGAATATGAGGGTACCGCGAACCGCGTCGAAGTCTAGCATATCTTGATCCCTCCCAACCGCAGAGGTGAATCTGCGGAATAACCATGCCCAGTATATCTTCACATGGTAAAGCCAACACCTAATTCCTTCGCTATTCATTCCCCCATGGCCCCTCCGCCACAGCCAGTACTGATATCCTTGAAT